AAGTGTTCTTGTTCCAAAATCTAATTTAACTTCTTTTTCTCGGGAAATATATATTTAACTGAATAAACACACAGATCTGTACATTGCCTCAGACATCACACTCTTTGCTGACTAATTTTCAGTATTATGTAAATGGATTTTTCTCGCTTTAGCAAACTCTTGGCTTGTGTCTTTTTATGGAGCTCAAGAATCAAAATGTTCTTGGCATTGTCTAGTTTTTACCACCGAGATAATATCAAAATGGCCAGGCAAAATGAGATCTTTATATCAAGAGTATATCTATCCAAGTTTTCAGTATGATCAACTTCGTAGATCCATAAGGTTTAAAGAGTTAAAAATAAGCATCTAGCTGCACGCTGACCCAATTATTATTTCCTTTTCCCTTCTGTAACTTATGGTTAACATTCAAGTGTTCTCATTTAACACTATGCATATGAAGTTCTTTTAATTAAGTGTTAATATTATAAGCAACCAGTGTAGTTCTCTTGCACATTTAATTACCCCTTGTAATAAGGGGGTTGACCTGTCATACATCAGCAAACCCTTTTCTTCGGTTTTCATTAATATTCAAGGGGTGAAAGTCTTTGGGAAGTTATTCTTTATGTTGCCTCATGGAGGGCTTTATCTAATTCTTTTTTGTAATAATTTTTTTTCCTCTACTCTTCAGTTACTCATTTATCATTACTATTATTTTTTCTTAAAAAACATGCAGACCTCATTGACAGCAGCTGGCTGTTACATTTCTCCGGCTCCTGGGTCCAAAGGTACCAGATGCATAATATCTAGTTCTGTGGATTGCCCCTTGCCTTCTGCTATTGAAGTTTTCCATGCACCCTCTTATAGAGAAGAGAAACACGATATTTCTGATGGGTTAGAACAAATCATTAATGATGGGAAGTCATATTTAGAACATTTTATCCCTAAAGCTTCAGATGTGCATTTCTTGGATTCAAGCCCTGAATCTGTTTTAGATGAAGCAAAAAGGCTAAATATTATCAGTGAGTCAACCTATAGGATCATTATTTCACTACAGATGCAAGAAACCAAACTCTTCAAAGCAGATTCTAAATTCACTCCCGGCTATGAATCAAAGCACGGTTCACATTCTGTAAAAACTTTATCCAGTGGACTGCTTAAGTCGGGGCAAATGTGCAACTTTATGAACAGGTTTTCTATCACATGGAAAATAAGAGATGAAAATGAAGATAATTCTATTTTTGAGGCGGCTAGTTGTAACACAGTTTGCAAGGCCTGTGTGTTAGGTTGTGATATGGAATTAGAGGTTCGGCACATGACTGAATCTGATTGGCTTTATCTTTCCAAGTTGTCCGAGTGCACGGTAGACGATTTTCAAGACCAAAGAGATACTTCATCCAGTTTGGAGTTGCAGACTATGGAGAGTCCAAATGGATGTTTAAATTATGCCACATCGTCGGCTAGAAGAGCATTAGTGCTGTTGAAATTGATTCCAGTTGCTGCAAGAAGAAGCCTTCCCGTCCTAGTCAATCATCAAGGCCTGCTTCTAAGTATTCCAGTACGTATACATTTTACAATTTCAAGAGAAACTGCAAACTGCATATTCAAAGGGATTGGAAAAGATCCACTCCAGTTCTTGACTCGTGGCCTCCTAGGACAATTTAGGCGGCCTTATTCATATTAATCCAATTACTTTGAAAAAGAATATAGGCATAAAAAATGATTTGGCTGATTATATTGAAGGAGAGAGCCACATAACATTCCCATGTTCCAAGTTCATAACATATAACATTCTAAACTTTATGGTTGGTAGTAGTACAATCGCATGCCTAACAATTTTCTTTCTGTCTGATGGCTCTTTCAGAGCATTAGGTTCAGCCATTGTCCATGGCTGATGGCATCTGCAGAGTTCAAGCTAAGGGTACCATTCGGCGGAGGCCATAGTTCATTCATGTAGATGCCAGTTTCACTTTCAGCACACAACCTGTACTGTTCCATAAAACCAATGGCCAGGTGTGCATAGTATTCAACTCCATGTGGAGCCTGTTTGGTAAAACACTGTAGTGTACTGAAGCCAAGTTGTGAATACAGGTTGAAAACAAAGGATCCATTTGATAACTCCTTATCTTGATTATTTATTTTAGAAATTAAAATTTTTAGATTGAAAATGAGGACGAGTAGTTGAAATTATGCTTCAATTTTCATCAATCAAGTGCTACTATACTAATACAATTGAGAGTAGGTGATTTGAATCCTGAGGGATATTTTTAGTTAATTGCACTTTGCTAAATGAGCAATCACCCATGATGGGTCGTGAAACTTAAATTCGAGTAAATACATTTTTTGTCCTAAGGTTTGAACTTGGTTTCTATTTGGTCCCTGAGTTAAAAAAGCTATCACTTTGATCCCTAAGATTTAAATATACATTCTATTTGGTCATTAAGTTTCAAAAGTGACATATTTGGTCTCTGAAGTTTGAATTTAGTTTTAATTGGTCCCTATTGTTTGAGTTTGGTTTCTAATTGATCTCTAAGGTTTGAGTTTGATTTTTAATTATTCCTTAGTCGACCATTAGCTAAGTGAACTGATGATGTCAAAATTAATACATGTTGACTAGACGTTGTTACTTAGGTAGAAAAGATGATTTCGGTTAGGTTAACGAACTATAACTTAACTAGAGACTAATTTAGGAACTAAACATGTCACTTTTGAAATTTAAAAGATCAAATTGAAATTAAATTTAAATCTCGTGAACCAAAATGATTGTTTTTAAAATTCAGGAACCAAAGAGAAACTAAGTCTAAATCTCAATGACCAAATGTATTTTACCTTTAACTTCAATCCCTAAATAAACATATTACAATATCATATGCACATAGCTCGAGTTACAATGGTTTACATAATATATTAGTCAATAATTTACATGAGATATCAATTTATTATTATTATTATTTTTAGTACACAAGAGATATCAATTAAACAAGGAGAATGACCAAAAATTGTATACATATTTCTTTTTTCAAAAAAGGTTCATGCAAAATATCAAAAGGTTTAATTATTTTCAACCTTAATATTATTCAAAAATTGAAAATTTATAAAAATCCTAAATTGGCCACCCCCATCTCTCTTTTCAAATTAAATAACCAAAATTATATGGATGTTGAGTTTTAATGCTACCGTGGCCTCCCTTGCTTCCTATCAACCATTGGAATCGAATTTAATTTATGTTTTCGACAGCCTCAAAAAGGCATCCAGAAATCCCAAAATGATAAATTTTTGTGGATAAGAATCTCCAATGGATTTCACAACACAAACTTTGGCCACTAGAAAACAACACTCCGTCCACTACATGGGGCAGCTGCTGCTGCTGGGCTTTCATGCAACTTCCGTCCATGCAAATGCGGCACCGTCGTCCGCTACTCCTTCTGCAGCCGCCCATCTGAAGAGGTACCTCCTCATCTCGTTACTTGAATGCAATTCAATTTTGATCCCACATCTCTCAATCTAGATGGGTGCGTTTTAAACAATTCGATTGAACTGAATATAGATTTTCTGTTATGGGTTTTGAATTTCACTTTCGAATGTGTGGTTCTTGAAGAATTTGTTGGTGGTGGAAGAAATTGAACAGAATAGGGGTTTTGATTTGGTTTGTCTTTTGGATTAAAGGAAATTCCATTTGGGATTTGGTTGCTCTGCTCTTGGTTCTTGATTCTCTGGTGTTTTCTTTGTAGAATCCAAATTGGACGAGCTTTGTCTCCAGCCATCTTTACATATTCAGTGGCAGTGAACGAGAATGCTTCAATATGTTGGGATTTGGTGGAAATTGATTTCCCTTGAGGCATGGTGAAGGTGGGGTGAAAGTTTTACGAGCAGGTCGAGCAGAACTGAGACAGTTTTCATGGGTGCTCAAAAAGAGGGAACGATAGCAAGCAAAAATCTGTCTCAAGGATCACCAGAAATGGTATTGTGGCTGACACTTCTATCTGCTATAATACATAGTTAATAATAGAACAAATTGTCGTGTTTTTCCAATATTTTGACCACATAGTCATCTTATTCACTGTCTCAACTTGGTAAATCATCTGCTTGATTGGCTATGGATGCTAAATCAGTTGCTTCTTCTTTTAATAGGCCTGTTCATCAAATGTTTGACTAATATTGGTCCTTCCATCTGATTTCACATGACAATTTGCTAGATTACTTATATTATGTCTGGGATTTAGGAGTGCTTTATAACCCACTAAAACACTTTTCTTATTCTTCATTATGTTTCACCCTATATGAGGATTTTTTTCTTTAAAAAATTTGAATAGAACTTAAAAGGACGTTTCATATTACTCCTTGAAAATATACTGAATGGACGTTTTTGTCAAATTTCACTTAATCTCTCCTCTCGGAGCACTTCTGAGCTCTTCTTCAAGCATACTTAGAGACCTGGACCTTATCTTTTTGCTATATTATGAGCGTGGTTTACTGTAGTTTTTTTAGTTTGTTGAAATCTGTGTTTTGAACTTTGCAGGAATCATGTCTTCGCAAGAATGAAGTAAAGTTAGTTTCAAATCCAGTGGATTTGCAAATTCAATCCCGCTGTTTTCTCTGTTTGGGTAACAATAGCTGCCGAACAGTACGTTCACGAACAAAACTGATGAACATCTTGGTTGAAAGAGGGAAGCCTCAGGAAGCTCAATTCATTTTCGATAGTTTAGTAGAACAAGGACACAAACCAACCACTGTGACATACACAGCTCTTGTAGCTGCTCTGACTCGGCAGAAACGTTTCAAGGCCATTTCTGGACTCTTATCCAAAGTGGAAGAAACTGGCATTAAACCTGATTCCATACTCTTCAATGCCATAATCAATGCATTCTCTGAATCTGGCAATGTAGAAGAGGCCATGGAAACTTTTCAGAAAATGGAGGAAAGTAGATGTAAGCCGACGACTAGCACTTTTAATACCCTCATAAAAGGCTACGGAATTGTCCGTAAACCTGAAGAATCTATGAAGTTACTGGAGTTAATGACAAGAACTACAAATCTGAAACCCAATAACCGGACTTATAATATCCTTTTGGGAGCTTGGTGTAAGAAGAAAAATATAAAGGAGGCATGGAACGTAGTGCTTAAGATGATTTCAGCTGGAATGCAACCTGATGCTGTCACATATAATACATTGGCGAGGGCTTATGCTCAGAATGGGGAGACTAGCAAAGCAGAAAATTTAATTGTAGAAATGCAAAACAAGAAGGTACGTCCCAATGAGAGAACATGTGGGATAATTGTAACTGGCTATTGTGAACAGGGGAACTTGGCCGACGCTCTGAGGGTTGTCAATCGAATGAGGGATCTCGGCGTACGCCCAAACCTTGTTATCTTCAACTCTCTTATCAAGGGGTTCCTAGATATTGGGGATTCGGATGGAGTCGATGAGGTAGGTGTTTTTCATATTTCACTGGTTTGTTTTCTGCATCTATTTTGTGTGATTGGTGAATTACCCCTTTGTTGGGGAACTTTCTTCATCATAATTTCTTCTGAAGTGCTTATTGATTATGAACTTGAACAGGCATTGACAATGATGGAAGACTTTGGGGTAAAACCAGATGTGATAACATTTAGCACCATTATGAATGGATGGAGCTCAGCTGGACGTATGGACAAATGCCAAGAAATCTTCAACGACATGGTGAAATCTGGCATCGAACCTGATATCCATGCTTTCAGTATACTTGCAAAAGGGTTTGTCCGTGCTGGCGAGCCTGTGAAGGCCGAGTCACTTTTGATTGCCATGAGCAAATATGGTGTGAGGCCGAATGTTGTGATTTTCACGACCATCATTAGCGGTTGGTGCACTGCAGGTAAAATGGAGAAGGCATGGAGGGTTTTTGAGCATATGCGTGACATGGTTGTCTCCCCCAATTTGAAAACCTTTGAGACCTTGATATGGGGCTATGGAGAAGCAAAACAGCCATGGAAAGCAGAAGAAATCCTTCACATGATGGAAGAAAAGAAAATCGTCCCTGAAGACAGCACTCTTAAACTTGTTTCTGAAGCTTGGCGCTCGATCGGTATGGTTAATGAAGCCGTGGCTGAAAGAAAGGAGGGCAGTGAGATTCCAGAGAAGAGTTCAGAGAGAATTCACAAGAAAGAAGACCCACCTGCATCTTATTCTGATCTTCTGCAATCAGGAGTGGTGATCATATCTAATGGAAATGGATCTTCTTATTCCCAAACAAGAAGCAGAACACTCCCAAAAGGTGTAGAAGTTCCATCTGGATGTCCACGGAGCACCTCCACATCGATGCTTCTTTGTCAGGCACGTCCCTTTCGCCCGCTGATTGTATGCAGAATCCAGAGCCAAACCCAGTTCTGGATATGGAGGCAGCACGCCACAACAACTTGCAGAATGAGGTTCATCCATTAGAAATGACAACCAGACGACGAGTCGATGCCTGAATCTGATTTGAAAAGTTGATGAAGAGTAATCTCGTGCTTTGCTACCTGAAATTATAAATGGTTAAGGCATTACAAATACTTGTTTTTTGTTTCCTTTTTGGATCACTTTCTGTATTCAGGTGATGTAAATACATTGTTGAGGACCAAAATCCAAACTATATGATCATGTAAATTGCTATCCTGACAATATCTATACTTTCACTTCCCACATTGTTCATTTGAATTACGACCAGCTCAAGGAATTCTGGAGTTGATTGCGGTATTCCCGTTTATGAAATTAAATCGAGACTATAAAAATATCAAACTTTCATAATACCAAGTAAGTTGTATCCTTGTTTATATAAAAATTTATATGTTTGTGTCAAGTTCGAGCCTATAACAGTACTGCTACTGTAATTTATCTCTTTCTTTAAGGATGGTGTCTAATAATTAAAATTGATATGGTGTAAACTTATACTTCTCAAAGGATATCGGTAACAAAATCTACGATATCTTGCCACAAACTCCATGGAAAGAAATTAATTGGTATTCAAGTTTAAACCAGACTGTACTAAAAAAATTATCGATTGAACTGAAAGAAGGAAGAAAAAATCTCAATCAGACCTCTTAAATGTAGAAAATGGAGGAAAAAAGAACATTATGTTTGACCATGTGTAGAAGATAAAAGAAAAATTTGCACAAAGAATCATATGATCTATCTACTCCTCTTTATTCCTCTCTAGGACTGAAGAGCGCTGCTCCGTCTGGGAAGAACGCCCCTGACTGCAACCCCAAAAGCTTGAAATTCTTCACAGAGGATGCTCTCTCTTCATCTTCTCTCTTCAGTACCTTTGTTTGACAACCATGCTCCACAACGTACGCGCGTCTCCAAACCCAATAACACTTCCAATTCCTCAATTCTCAGTCTCCACTCAATTGCCATTGCCCAGAAATTCGCACATGCCCGATTCGCCTCTCGTTATATCTTCCCATATGCGAATTGCCGCAAATTTTCTATTCAATCCGGAAACAGTAGTTTCCGAGCCTTTAAGCCTCCAAGCGATGGAACCCACTCGAAAAGGGGTCGCTGCGGTGCTGTAAATGACTCCGACGAAAAAACTAGGTCAGTGTTAGACACCGGCGGTGGCGGCGATGGAGGTGGAGGCGGCGACGAAAGTGAGGATAGTGGGAAGGTGGAGAAGGAAAAGGGTTCTTCTGGGTTTCTGCCAGAATGGTTGAATTTGACCTCCGACGACGCCAAAACAGTCTTTGCAGCCATAGCAATATCTCTTGCGTTCAGGACTTTTATTGCAGAACCGAGGTACATTCCCTCGCTATCAATGTATCCTACATTCGATGTTGGGGATCGACTTGTAGCAGAAAAGGTAGAAATCTTGTTCACTACTGTTGATCATATTTTGCAACTGCGCTTAACGATTATATGAAAAAAAGAAAAAATAGATTGAGATGTAATGTTCATGCAGTGATAAGTTTGGATTTCATAGTTAAAATTGCCTGAGGTTTTGCTCCTCCTGCCTGTCAATCGTTCCATAACGAAGTAAAATAAACTCAACTTATTTTCTTTATTCCAAGTTCTTGGATTCAGCTAATCTTTAAGAAGAATGATGAGAATATCTATGACTTTGATTCTTTCTATCAAATTTCTGGTGTTTTGGACAAATGATTTCATGCCAGATAAATACTTGAATTTCTTTGCAGGTGACGTACTATTTCAGGAAGCCATGTGCTAATGATATAGTGATATTTAAAAGCCCACCAGTGCTTCAGGAAGTAGGATATACAGATGAAGATGTCTTTATTAAAAGAGTTGTTGCTAAAGAAGGTGATACTGTGGAGGTTTGTATCGTTATCTGATGTTGCATCCCATTCCATGAATCTTGAAGCTCCTTATTTGAACTCTCGGAAACAGATTCTTCTACAAAGGTTATTTAATGATATTGCAGGATGGAAAAACGTAAATAACACTATTGTTTAGACTTTTATGGTCGTTGTCCTCCTACTTTTGATTATATGTTTTCAAGCACCAAAAATATGTGTTTCACCTTCCACTCCTTGCTTGGGAAATTGGCTGATTGCAGGTCCAGAAGGGAAAACTTATCGTTAATGGGGTTGAGAGAAGCGAAAAATTCATCCTTGAACCACCATCATACAACATGACTCCAGTTGTAAGTAGTACTTTCTGTGATGATTTTTCTTTTCGGTTGGACGAAGAGAAAATGTTTTTACATCTCTTTCACTTCTATTTTGATGCAGCAAGTGCCGAAAAACTCGGTCTTTGTGATGGGTGATAATCGCAATAACAGCTATGATTCTCATGTGTGGTAGGTAACCTTCACTCATCACTTGACTAAACTAATACCGAGTTTAATGACTTTTAGAGCCAACGATCATGACATATTTGACAAGTTCTTTTAACCAGCACTTCTACTATTATATTCTAGGAGTCTTGTCGAACTCGATCTAACTCGAGCACTACTTAGAGTTTCGTTTCTTCCCTATACTGATAGCTAGTTATACCAAATTGTTCAGGGGTCCGCTGCCAGCCAAAAATATTATAGGAAGATCATTATTCCGTTATTGGCCTCCAAACAGGATCGGTGGAACAGTTTCTGAGCCCAGCTGTGCTGTTGATAAACAAGAGAGCATTCCCTCCACACCAGAGATTTCCAGCCTACAGACCTCAAACTCTCAACCATAACAGTTCCAGTCACGTTCCTTTCGGTTCAGTTGCATTCCCCTGTAATTTCCAAGCTTTTTTCTGTTCTGGGAACTGGCCATTTTTTTTGTGTAAGGCCCTGTTAATCTTTAGTCTTGGTTTGTGTAAGTTACTAAATTACACAAGAGATGTCTTTGATTTAACTCCAATCTCATCTCTCTTCTGCTTCGACTGTACATGGTCGAGAGATTTGGAGAAGTGACATTGCCATTCTTCGTCAATCCAATCAATTAATACGAGCTTCTTCTTTGTCTCTACCAAGTAGAAAGCTGCTTAAACGAGGTACTATTCTAACAAGTATTTTGTTAAAGAAAAAACATCAATTAAGTCAAGCTTTTAGAAGTATTTTTAACTGCTTTTTAAGATTTTTTTTTAATATTAGCAAATCATACGCAGTGAAGTGTTGTCTTGTCAGAAGCATAAAGAACATATCATTTCATTATGTCAAATAATTGTACCATCATTGCGCTGTTGTTGTAATGAAATGTAGTTGGCAAAACAACAGTATGTACCAGAAACTGATTCACTAATTCCTTTTTCTCACTCAATTATTCAATGGCTATAAGGAAGAAAGAACTAAATGAACAGCCTTTTCTCTACAAGCATAGTTTTTCCTTTAAATGATCCTACAGGTAGAATCTTTCCCTTGCAATGAAGAGAAAGATGCAAAGATGGAGATCTCTCTCAATCATATGTACACGAGTCAGATTTAATCTTCATAGGCTTCGAGTTACGAGAGTCGATGTCCAAAGAACAGGAGATACGCTTTTGATGCTTCGATCTCACCAGTTTCCCCACCACATTCCCTCTTGAATGAACTTCAAACACCAGCACCATAGGAATGTTTCCATTTTTATCCAAGGCTTCAAGGCTGGCTCCAGCCCCATACAATGGCACCTTGTTCCCTTGAAGGTTCACCAACTCGATCCGATGGCTCTGTCTCGGTTGATAATATTTCTTCAACTGCAAAGCAAGAAAACATTCCAACATTCTGATCAACACCAGACTCACATTTCCCTTTACTCAGTCAGAAGAACAGTTTTCCATTTTCCATTCCTTGATGCATTTTCTTGTCAAAGTTTGAAGTTGGGGATCTTACCTGACCAGTAGCAACAGCAATCTGGGAGTACATAAGATTGATGGGGGTGGAACTGACATGAATGCCAAAGAAAGTAGCAGGATTGTACACAGTAATCCTTAAAGAACAGTTGGTAGTCAGTAGTTTGGTCGGGACTCCTGTCGTGTCTGATCCTTCCCCAAAATACACGTTATGAACAGCCATACTCTGTAAAAGAAAAACGAGATGGAAACAAAAATCAAGACCTCCTACATTGACCGATGAAGATAATAATTTATGTTGCAGGGAAAAACAGAGTTGACAGGATTTGGAATTCCAGACATGGATTAAACAATCAAATTGACGTTTGTTGGAAAATATTATTTTAATCAAATAGAATAAAATAAACAATCAATGTAACAACCTTGACTCTGATCTGAGCTTTGAAAGGCCTGCTAGCACCCCATATGATCATACAAAACAAGAAGAAGATAAAAAGAAAGGCAAGGAGAGCCATGAGAATCTGGCAGCGTCTAGCCAAGGCTTTGTCGGCGTAGAGATCATCGTAGTCGCCCTCTTCTTCGATGACATCACACTGGGGCCAGCCCTTGTGGTTGCGCTTCCGGCTACCTTTGCGGCCAAGGGCGGAGCGGAAGGTGCCGGAGAAGCGACTGGCGGAGGAGGAGCGAGAGTGGCGGGTGTAGGAGGGGTGGGAGGGGCTCTCCATGGGGCTGTTGAAGGCGGGAGTGGCGTGGGTCGAAGATTTGTCGCCATCGTGGGAATCTCTGGAGGGGCTCTGCACGTAGTACAGCGGCCGTTTCGGTGACCTCGGCGACGACGGGGCCAAACTGGTCACATCGGAATCGGACTTGGCGTGCATCATCTTTAGAAGATGAAAATGGAATCAGGAGATTTGAGGGAAATTGAAGGGCTGAATCCAATCAGAAATTCAACCGATTGAAACCCCAAGAATTGGAAATTGAAGAATTGGGAAAAGCAGTAAAGGCGCAGTGATGAGCCATCAGTAACCACTGAGAGAGGGGCCAAGGAGGGAGATTCAGCGTCAGTGGAGAGAGCTGCGAGTGGAAGTTGGTTCGGTCTTCAGCCTCGGGATCCGAACCTCGAGCCTTGGGTACGAGTGTCGGTCGCCTCAGGTATTCCGTTTCTAATTTCGGGAAGTCCGTTACGTTTTCACGGGCTAAGATGACTACGCTCCGTGACATTATTAAATTGTTGTCTAAAAAAACATTATTAAATTGCTCTCTTTGGGTTTCAGTAGCCGTTTCGATCGTCATTTATTCCAGAATAGAATTATCTAAGCATGAGATTTTCTAATTTGAAGAAAAATAGAAGTGAGATTTTTTTTGTTGAGGAAAAAAGAAAATTTTGGCAAAAAGAGCTTATGTTAATTAGTATATTTGTCCAATTTTCAGTGATATCTCTGATTCATATCTATGGTTGCATTTTAGAGTTTGATCTATTTTAACATGAGGGAGTGAATTCACACAACTTTGTTAATAAGAAATACTTAGAACTGAAAATACTATGTTTAGAGCAAGTAGAACAACATGCCAAATGTCACTGCCATTACCACTGCCATAAAATAGAATATTTCAGAGTGCAACCTTTATTACTAGAGATTGGCTAAAACATGCTAACTTTCCCCACTAATGTTCATCAAATGAATGTTCAACGAATCTAATTACGTTTATAAATTTTAAAATCCGTTGATTTATTCAGCCATATATTTCAATTTTATGGAACATCTCTTTTGCCAAATAGGTGTAAACTCAAACCCAAAAGATGCCAATATGTAGTGATTTATTAAGATCTTTCTTTCAATATTTTGAAGAAACTAATTTTTGGATATGTATGTAGTGCGGGTTCAGGCCTCGATGGGAGAGGAAGGCAAACAAAAAATTTCAATTCAAATTTCAAACCCCACCATCCACAACTACTTTACTCGGTCGAGAAAACATAATTGAACGTAAATCAAAGCCAATATCATGAATATCAAGTATCCTTCAATGGGGTTAATAACACCATTTTTATTTTACTAGAATGACACAAACGAACCAAATTGGGTGGATCAACTTTATCAAGTTCAAACATATTGGGAAATGGAAGCTCAAAATTACGGCCTCATTGAAGAATAATAATATCGGATAACATACAAAGCTTTAGTTAGAAGCTAGACGTTGTCTCAATAGATTTTCTGAAATTAATAATCCGTGCAAGGCTAAACATATTATTTAATTTAACCCAACCATGTGACATAATCTAACCCTCTCGGTGCACTTGATTTCAAATTACTCATATTTAATGACACATTTAAGAGAGTGAAAACCGAGTCTTGCAGAATTCTGCTCCAAATTTGATTACATTTCACCGTACGTATACGACGATCTTTCGTCTGCAAAGGGATTAAAGATAATTCACACCTTTCAGTATCAAATTTTAGCAAACCACTCTCTGAAATTAAGCCTACACATTTCTCCCATCACAATACCTGCAAAAATATATATATACAAGGACTAACATTCTTATGAACGTTAATGACAACATTCTCAAGATCACCAGAAAAGCTGATATAACCAGCTAAGATTAGAAGTTTGTGTTGAAAATATTTGCAGGTCAAGAAGAAAAAAACGAATGAAGAAAAGGAATTTATAAAGTTGATTCGTATACAAAACAGGAAGACATAAAATCAGCTATAAGGTTAAACGAATGGATTCCTGATATTACGACTAGAAGTATATATTACAAAACGAACCAAAAGAACAGAAAACGCGAACTAATTTGCCAATGTTATAGGAACAAAGAAAAAGCATAAAAGCTAAAGGGTCATCAGATAGGAGCGAAAGACTAAAAAGATGTATAATCACAGTACAATCAGTTGAACTATGCTTATAATCATCACATGACCCAAAACCAAACTTTTAAATCAATGACCAAGCATTAAACAACAACAAAAAAAACAAATAAAACCTCGTGAATAAGACTCCCAAAGCCTCAGAAGGAAGGCAGTAGAGGTAATTGTAATCACGAATGATCATACAGTACGAATACCAACTTCTTCATCATAGACGGGCGGAAGACCCTAAGTAATCTACGGCAAAATAAAGCAGTAAAAAACGGCAGAATCAACAAAAAATTTCAATTATGAGAATGGCCTCATAGAGAAGATTAGAGTTGTCAACAGGCATGAATTCAGACATATGCTTGTCAATTAAAAATATTAAATCATCGGCCATAAAAAATGAGCTCAAATCTTGGTAAAAACATTCAAAAAAACATAATAAAAAACTAGAAAACGAGAGGAAATTTGGAAGAGGGACTCAGAATATGGGTGGTGATATATCAGGATGGTCGTCAAGGCCATTTCACACAGCCAGTTACGACGAACGAGACCTTATCATGACAATCGTCACCGTCCCTACCAATTTCAAGAGATGGAATAAAAAACGAACGTATTAGACTGAAGAAAAAGAAACCCTAAACTTGAATCCCAGAAACCGACCTGTAAGACGACTGTGAGCACGATGGAATAGAGAGGAAGCAGGGCGCTTATATAGAGGCGGGAACGAGCCTCGCGGCTAGGGTTTCCCCATAATTTCATTTCTTTCTGAATGGTTAATTACACAAAAGAAATAAGTTTTTTTCACGAGGTACAACTAAAAATTCCTATTTATTACTGAATGGACCATAGACCAATTTCCCTTTTATTTGGGATGGGAGTGTTGACTACACCCAAAATTCTGAGYTTCATGTTACTCCTACCAAGCAAGTTACATGTCAGATACGGGGCATCCCAATTCGATTGAATGGGATGACAGTTTCTCATTCTGAATCTGTAAAATCAAAATTTTGATCAAATCACACATCGCAATATACTAAGCCTTCTAATTCTTTAAGAGGTTTATCTAAAAGATTCGCGATATAACTAGGAAGACGTTTCAAATACCACACATGGGTTACTGGGCATGCCAGTTTAATATAGCCCATTTGATATCTTCGTATCCGAGAATCAACAAATTCGACTCCGCATTGTTCACAAAATTTCGAATCTTCTTTTTTATCTCCGATTACTCGATAATTTCCACAAGCACAAATCCCGCTTTTTATAGATTAGGGTTTTACATAATTGAGTGAGTTATGCTACCGTACGCGAGAATGCATTTTAATAACATGCGCCACCCCACCCGAGAAGTACCCGGAACCTAAAGTCCGGATTAGCCGTTGGATGGAAATGAACGGAGAGTTGCGATTTAACCGGAGTGACCGATAAATGGATCGAATATTAGTACAAATTAGAGTGTTTCTTAATTGCATAATAAATTTTAAAGTAATAGTAATATTACTTCTTCCTTTTTTTTTCTTTTCTTTTTCGAGGTCAAATGTTTCTTTTTTTTCTTCTTTTTCCAAGTTTAATTAAAGATGGATAAAATGTCAAAAAATTTATCAAATCAGCAGTGGTGGGTTAGTTTTACAATATTTAACCATAAATAACGTTACAAAAAATTACAAGTGATTGAGAAATGAATATACTGTATATCTCCAATTTTACGTTGTGAATTCGATCCCCACCTCAAATTGAACTTGACATATATCTCCAACTTTGGGTCTCAAATTGGTGTCTTAAATTGTTGCTGCTTCATTTATTATACAAATTATTTCATAATTTTATGAGGCAGGAGAACAAAATAGTAATTGTAAAAAGAAAAACCATTTGATTCTCTCAAGATAGCCTTTATATTATAGTTTCACAGAATGATTTACCAAAACTAAATATTACATCAACTACTTCCAAATCATTTCATTTCTTGGCTTTTTAATTAAAAGAAGAAAAAAAAAAGTACATTCACATGTTGCTTGGTCCCAAAACGTGCACATGAAATGTGTAAATCCTACCATTTGTAAAATATATGATCAGATATTCGATTCATTGTTTTATTTGGAAACAATTCAATTGTCACATAAAAGCATAAAGAAACCGTAACTTGCACATAGTTAAGTGGAAATCACCCTACAATTGGTGGACTAAAAAAATCCAAATAATCCAAAATTTTACTACGATGGGATGGCAAGTTCTTTAGTTCAGTTGAAGCATAGAAATGTTGCTGCAAATATGTACATGCTCAAATATACATCTGATGCAACGGAATGTAACTCACCAAGAAGAAAGTATACATTCTCGATTGAATTAGAATGAAGTGAAAAACTCTAATGCTAATGCACTCCCATCCGGTCATCCCCATACTGAATCAACAAGTATTCTAAAATCTAACCCATATGAAATCAAACCCAACTACCATAATCAAATTTCTATTACAAGTTATGATTTGCCGACACTAAAGGTTTTGGTGCCCAACTCCAACGACTGCATCAGCGCTTAAGATGGTCGATTGATTTGCGCAGCCAACAATAGTATATATTCAGTCTCAGCTTCTAGTCAATCTTCTACTATCAATTGGTCTGGCGTGTGAATCCAGTATGGATAGAATCTGAGGCATTGACATGCCTCCAGAAACCACGATCTCTGCAATTAAAGAAATGAAAGTTTTTTACGGTTACAGAGTTACCGGTCATCCTTATAATAGGACTACTCAAACAGCTAATTTCAGTCATTTGGTGGTGAAACACAATTTCAATACCATCAATCCGCTTGGTTCTGGATTATAAGGTTGTTTTTTCAGACAAATGTTTCATGGAGAAATTATTATGATAAGAAATATTTGACTTGCACACCCGGCCACCCGGCAACAAGATCCTCCTCTCATCCTTCTTAAATAGTTTTTTTACCCTTATATTTCTTTCTTAAATTATTATTTCCTTACAATCAGAAAACCTGTCCCAACAGCCACAACACACTCAAACCTACAAGATAATCCATATATCCAGGACTTTGAAAGCAATAAACGGGTATTTCATTAATTTCAGGAGAAACTGCCTTTTCACTCAGGCAAAGCAATTCTGGACATAATGACATAAAAAGAAAAACTCACCAATTCCTTCCCGTACAGATAAATTCGGTCTAATAACATCCTGTGAGTTAACTAGGAAAACATCACCAATGTAAAGATGATTGGTGGGAACATAGACACAACATAGCTCCTCCTCTCCAGAATAATTCTGCATTTAGAGGGGATAAAATGGCCGGTCAGAATATCAAGCCTTGCAGCACCTGTCACATTACAGGTTATGCCAATTGCGGCAAAAAAAGTGACACATAACAAAGTGCATAATTGCCTTAACCACCCAATTATAGGAAAACAGCACTCCCACAAACATAGAATTCAAATATGCATATTGAGCATCTTAATCCTCCGCTTAAGGCTGTCCACAAATGGTTGGTAGTCCATCCATATTCATAGAAGTTTCAGGACCATGGCACTTTTTATTTTTTTTGATAATAAACAAAGATTCATTCCAAAAGAAAAGAGGAGACCGAAAAGAGGCATACAACCTAGGGTCAAAGGATCGAGAAGACCCTCCCTCAAGAAGCTAAGAAACTATACAATCAAGGAATTCCAACTCTGAAAAGTCAAAAGAAAACCGTAGTTACCAAAAACCTTCTTGTGGATAGAAGCCCACCAAGAAGCTGTATGCCTAATATTCACACAAATCTTCAATAGAGCTCTGTTTCTCTGCAAAAATTATGTTGTTCCGTTCCTTCCAAAGCAGCCAAAGAAGAGCTCTCGCACCACAACTCCACAGGAGATTTTCCTTTTAACAAGGATCCTCCAAAGCCTTATTCTATAAAATCATCTATTTTCCTTGGTAAGCAGAGGGCCAAGTCTAGATAAGATGTCAGGTAGTTCCAAGCTTTTGCAACAAAAGGACAATGTAAAAAGAGACGATCCACCGTTTCTGTGTTCTTGAGACACATTCCACACACTGAGGGAGAGAGGGTCCACTGAGGTAGTTTCCTTTGAACTTTTTCAGCTGTGTTTGTGCCCCTATAGAAGAGAGTCCAGAGGAAAACTTTAACTTTTTTTGGTACCCTGAAATTCCAGATCAAAGATGCAGTGGCTGCATTTAGCTTCGGAGAGGGGAGGTAAGAGCCATAAAGGCCGATTTCACTGTGAAGACACCTTTGTTATCAGCAGTCCAGCACAAAGAATCGTTCTCAGATCCTAAGACCAGCCCTTCAATTTTCCCGATGAACATTGCCCATCTATCAAGTTC